GGGGGGGGGGGGGGGGGGGGGGGGGGGGGGGGGGGGGGGGGGGGGGGGGGGCTAGGTCGTGATTCATGATAACTTATTGTGTTTCCTAATGGTTATTCAGATGGGAGGGCTGCATGATTCTCTGGAGAGTAGAATTTCAGCACTGGAAAAACTGAACCAGAATGACGGTTCCCAACATGTTCAAAGAGCGGAATAGACACACACTGGAGGGGCCAAGCCAGGATAGTCTGAAGGAAACATAAAGAACTTATGGACAATAATAATAAACTGGTCTGCTTTGTCTGCTCATCAAAAAAGATGTTAAGTTTTGGTTGCAAGATTTGTTTATTTCCTGTATGATCTTTGTTTGTTGGTATCAGATTTAGGCTTGTTCCATGCTGGTAGCTATGTTGCTGTGATGTTAACCCTGCTCGTGTAAGACTTGGGTATGAGTTTGATGAGAAATCATTATATCAGTTTTCTGGGAAGCAGAAATTCAGTTTCTAAATATACATATTTTTTCATTTTTGTCACCAAAGTTTTAATCATTAAGCCCTTGAATTTTGTAAAATGAACTATATAATTGTTGCAACTTAATCCAATTTGTTTTAACCTCATAACATATGAAATTAGAAAGTTTTTCTTATGTTTTAGGACTAATGTTTACAAATAACCCGTTCATTGTTCATATCATATCAAAGAAAGTTGGATGTTCATTGTTCATTAGTTCTTAAGCAACTTAAATCAGAATCGAAATTACCGACTAGTATTAATAAATTTGAGTAATTTTGTGTTCAAGAATCCCGAGAAGCTCACATCAATGGAGCATCTTGGACCCATTATAGTCCATTCAGGTTTCAAGCTAACAATTTGCATTTGAATAACAAGAGTCCAAGTAAGCTCTTTGAGATGATGTTTGATGACTGTGTCATCATGAATCTAACGGCCACAACTATCAACCCAGCACAAGATGATGTTATGGTGCATTAACTGGTTTTCGATCCTCCTTCAAAAGTGGTTTTACCTTCTCCATTTAGGTACATAAGAGAATCGAGCCATGAGAAAGACCTCTCCCTATGCAATTTCTTCGGTTTTTTTACGAGGGTATAACTCTTTAAAGGTCTTTAAAATTTTAAAAATTTCATCCATACTAATTTTTTAGGGTTCATAAATGAAACAACTTTTTAATACATACAAATTTTATTACAAAAAAAAAAAAAAAAAAAAAATTAATTTTTTAAAAGTATATACAAAAATTATTTATCTACTTTTTAAATACATAATTAAAAAAAAAAAGATAAATTATGTTTTTGAAAAATCTCATAAATATTTTTTTAAAAATATTTAAGGATATTAATAAAATTATTGAAAGTTTTAGTATATTACTTATATATTATTTTAGTTTAATGATGTAATAACATTATATATTTCAACTGATAACTATTTATAAGATAATCGCGTATTTGGAAATTACCTCCTTCAGTCTCGCGCCTGTGGCTGTGGCATGTTATCCTCCGCCACGACCTAACCCTAAACCCTTCGTCATCAATTCCGGTCGCTGCAGGAGGATCTCCAGCACGAAAGCCAAGCGCCAGTTCTTCTTTGAGTCGCGGTTCCAGGTTTTGGTGCAGTCGTCAGTTTCCCAGTCTTTGGTATGTTGTTTTCGTTAGTCGTTACTGCTTTTAATTACCGTATAATCAAACGGCGCTCATATGCGTGCTGTGGAGGAATAGTCAGACTTGTCCAATCTTGGTGGGTAGAACGTTCGCAATCTTGGATTTGCTTTTTTCTCTTTTTGTGTTCTTCATCTGGACTAGGGTGTGGCATTAGTGGATAAGTTTTGTTGAATTTGATATTGTGTTTGATTACTTTTATGTTTGCGTTCTCTCGGCGTGTTAAATGGACGACAGCTCGTGCTGAATTATTTCACACACTGAAGCAGCTGATTCGTTGGTTGAAATTTGATTTCTGCGTTCCTCCTAGTTTACTTCCATTGGGCTGTTGTCGTTGTTATTAATACAACACTGTAGTGGTTGGTGAGCTTTAATCTAGATGCCTTTACTTAGACCTTTGGAACTGAGAAAATAGTCTACTGTGTTAGCACCATTATTACGTTTTAAACTCGTTCCTCTTATTTCTGTAGATATGTTGATTCAAGATTGAATACACTTATCAATAACAGTATTAACCAACGTCCACCCAATATTAATAAATTGGCACGGAAGTCTGAATTTTTCTGTTCTTAATATCACTTCTGTGCATTCCCTGTACTGAATTGGTGTTACAATTTTCTTCAATTTATGTCCTGTAGTTGGGATTTATTTACGTGAAGTAAAAGGGACCCGGCTTGTTAAATTCTGTTTCCATTTTGTTAATTGATATAACATTATGGTATTTCTATTTTGTTTTTTATGTGGAGTTTTCCCACTGACGACCTTAGATAATGATGTTGCACCAAGAGTATTAACACTAATGTTTTATATGACCACGTTCTTAAATATGTTGATAAGAAAGGCAGTAAACTTTTGCACCATTCCTCTTTGCAATCGGATGCAACATAATTGAGGATTTCAAGTTAATCCACAGAGGACATCCTGCATATTTTTTCAGGGTTGTTTTCTCAATGATGTTAAGAGAGATGAGTAAGGTAAAATTAATCATGTATGTCACTCTTGCCTCATCTCATGACACACATGCTTTCTTTATGATAGATGACAAGCGCTTGGACAAATATGAGCATTGCAATCATACATAGGGATATAGAAAGGGAATGGGAGAATCCTTGTGGAGTTATGGGTATTTTTTTTAAAATGGAGATGCTTGATCACTCTCAGAAAAGCTATGCACTGCTAAAATTCTGGAGAGGATGAGGAGATACAAAATTTATTTCAATATTATAATACCTTTGGAGCATCTTGGAGCAAATGAGCAATGGAATTGTGGAGCACGGCTCACATGGAGGATTGCTCTCTTGGTTTGCTTTGTTGTTTTTGGTTCTACCTTATTTTAAGAGTAAAGTTGTTGATACAGATGGCAATTGTTATAGAAGATGGTTGTTCTATCCTTTTGATGATTCATTTAATAGATGTATGATGTTATGACATAACATGTGCAGGAATAATATTTCAAACGCTCGGACTAATTTGTTGCCTTGAAGATGAGTAGTCGTTTTTCCCGCACGATATATGTTGGAAACTTGCCCTCAGACATAAGAGAGAATGAAATTGAAGATTTGTTCTACAAGGTATATATTTTTAATCGTAGCATTTTTTTTTATCACGGTGTCTATGAGAAAATTGTTATTTTCTCTTTTCATATTTTTAATTTTGAATGCTATTCTTAATTATTTTATTTTTCTTAGTGGGATGTACATTACAATGGTGATTTACGGTCACTCAATCCTATTTTGATTTTTGGTTCAGAAAGAAAATCAATTAGATGTATTTTGTGGCTCATGCATATCTAAGGTTTAATTTTTGTGATATGGAGGCTACATGATTGATAGTTCCTTTGGCAGTATGGTCGAATTTTGGATATTGAATTGAAGATTCCGCCGCGCCCTCCATGTTATTGTTTTGTGGAGGTATTGCTTTTGATCTTTAGTTTGTATCTACTTTTAGCTGCATTTGTCAAACTATTTTCATGATATTATGTGCTTTCTGTTGTTAGTTCGAGAATGTTAGGGATGCAGAAGATGCCATTCGAGGTCGTGATGGATATAATTTTGATGGTTGCCGTCTAAGGGTATCAACTAAGTCTTCCTTTTGCTTTATTTCCTGGTCCTACTTTTATTATTATTATTTTTTATTTATTAATATTTTCAGTTCTTTAATAGGTTGAGCTTGCACATGGTGGTAGAGGCCCTTCATCAAGTGATCATCGTAGCAATTATGGTGGCAGTGGTGGTGGTGGAGGACGTTTTGGTGTTTCAAAACGATCAGAATATCGAGGTGTGGGGGTATATATGATGCATCCTTATAAGGAAGCGGGATACCGACAATTTCCCTCGTGTAATATCCATTAGATTCATATTAATTTCAATGGTCTAATGAATGTTTAATTTCCCTCACAGTTATTGTACGGGGACTCCCATCTTCTGCTTCTTGGCAGGATTTGAAGGTGCTAGAGTCTTTATTGTTTAATGAAAGATGAAGTGTTTCTTTTATTGGACCATGTTGGTGACTTTACTGGTGTAATGCTTTCAGGATCATATGCGCAAGGCTGGTGATGTGTGTTTTGCTGAAGTTTCCCATGACAGCGAAGGTGTAATCCTTATCTTTGATATTGTAATAATAACTGCTATTGTTTTTTTTTTCTCTCTTTACAAGTTTCAACAAACTTCAGAACCTGAAATTTCTTCGCATTGATTTGATAATTAGATAAATATTTACTATTTGAAGTAAATGTGTCCAGGGACATTTGGGACTGTTGATTATACAAACTATGACGACATGAAGTATGCTGTAAGTTTTTCTGTAAGCGTGTTTCATCAGAAGTCCCGTATTATTTCAATTTGACTACTAATGTGTTTTTGTTATTTAGATTCGAAAACTTGACGATACAGAATTCAAAAATCCTTGGGCAAGAGCATACATTCGGGTACCTTAACCTTTTTTTCTCTTGCCAGAGTTAATTATTTTCAATTAGCCTACTGTTGTGCTGTTTTCATTTACAGCCTAGCCTCTTTCAGTGAGCATTTTAAGAAACTGGATTTGGTTTCTTATGTCACTCGTGTTTGTGGATTACATTTGGTTGCAGGTGAAAAAGTACGAAGGCAGTCCCACTAGGGGTCGGAGCAGAAACAGAAGCAGAAGCCGTAGTAGGAGCCGGAGCCGAAGCCGAAGTGTGAGGCGAAATAGGAGGTACCAGCCTTTTCTGTTTAACTCTTATCACTCTCATGGCCTCATTATTCTTTATAATGTTTTCTTGTACCATGCAGCAAATCAGCCGAACAATCTGTTTCTAGATCAGTTTCAAGATCAAGATCTCTATCCCCTGTTAAATCTTCAAGGTACCTGTGGCCTGTGTGTGTGTGTGTGTGTGTTTTCCCAAGTTTGGATTTTCTCAAGAAATTAAGAAATAATGTTTGACATACATTTTCTGCTAACTATGCAGACGACGTTCAAAATCAAGATCTGGATCACCACGTGAGGTATGCAACCGTCCAGTTTTAATGCTTCAAAAACTGTAGACTTCATATTAATCCATTTATGCTCATGGTATATAGAGCTATCTGATTGAATGATATGTGTCAATGGGTAGTGGTATTAAGAAAGAACAACCTTTGGATGAAGGCGTAGAATGAGCATGTTTGTTTTATGGTGTAGGTCATTGTTAGTTTTGTTATTATTGGTGGCAGGGGTAGTTGCCAATGGGAACGGTAGAACCCATGATGACGTTTGTTCCGACTGAATCTCAATATTAGCCTTGATATTATGAACCATGGGTATCTCACTCTAGTTCGAGCTTCTCGTGATGGTTCTAGATAACTAAATGTGATAATGTCATGGTACACTTAAGTTTTTTGGACACCTAAGTTACTGTAAGTATTTGTGGTTCATTATGCTGCGGAATGAGATTAGCCCTAGTCTCTTTCCTGATTTCAAAACAATGCCTTAAACTCAACTTAAAGAATCCTTGTAAAGCTTTTTTTTAATTTAAGAATGGGAACCATAATGAAAGTAAGAATTAAATTGGTACCATGAGTCGAGTCAACTTAAGTATAGTTCAACTGATTAGTAGAATCTGTCTTTGTACTAAACTAAAACAATGATTTGATTATATTAGGGCCATACAACTGCACTAACAGAAGCTGAAATCTCTTTTTCAGGCACGAGAAGGTAGCGGATGATAATACGAAGCTATAATGATAGGAACGGTTGTTATAATATCGAGAATGCAACATTCTGTTGGATTTCATGTTAGTTTAGGACCTATTATATTATGCTTGACTGGTTATGAGGAGTTGAGTTATCTGAAGAATATGGGTTGAGTTGTATGGATATCTTTCAAATCCTTCTCATGTATTTGACCTGACCTACCATCATTATGTTTGGAGAGACATCTTTTGGTATTTGCATGTCTTAAGTTTCTTGCTCACTGCCTTTGGATTTTTTTTCTTTCTTTTATAATTTCTTTATGCATAATGGAATTTTAAATGAGGAGTGAAATTGTGATGTACCACGTTGGTTGGGGAGGAGAACAAACCACCATTTATAAGGGCGTGAAAATCTTTCTCTAGCAGACGCCTTTTAAAACATGGAGGGAAAATTCGAAGGGAAAAGGCCAAAAAGAACAATATCTGCTAGCAGTGGATCTGGGTCGTTTCAGAAATTTACAAAATTGATATCATATTGAATGATTAGGGTTTTAATTCATACATAAATGTTCTCTATTTAGAGATTTATTTAAATTTATTGTTACAATTAATTTCCAAGTCCTCGTTAATTCATTCTCATTTTTTATTTTGGATTCACAATTCATCCATTAATTGTGAGATAAAATTCTTTTTTAAATTTATCGATTTGATCTTTTAAATAAAATCATTTTTTTTTGTTCAAGTGCCAAATTTTTTGCATGGACCTATCGTATATCGACACGTGTATGGACTGTTTCTGCTATATAACCTTTAAAGCAATTTAAATAATGATTAGAAATCTCTAAATTAGTTAAAATGCAGTTATTTTATTTAAAAATTACCATTTAACCTTTAATAATGTCTAAAATAAATATTCTTGAACTTAATTTCATCAATACCCTTAAAACTCTTTTAAAACGTTATAAATATTTGTACTAATAATATTATATTTAAAAATGTTTATAAAAATTTAAAAGGAGCATTAACATTTTTAAAAATTTGAAGGTGTATTTTGGAGTTTTTTTTAAAAACTTTAAGGATATTGATTAAATTTTTTAAAAAGAAAAAAAATATATACTTTTGAATAAAAAAAAAAAAAATTTAAAGTTCCTTAATTTAATTTAATTTTAAATAGAGGTGGAAATTTGGAGTCAGGAATGGATGGCAAGTGATTCGAATCCCAAAACCTAATTTATTTGAAACCGAAATTCAAGGCCAACCCCATATTTGATTCTCCACATGCCACGTTTCGATCACTGCAAGCGTCGATTTCTTCTCCTCCAATCACTTCCCGACACGTCATCCTGCAACATAAATATCTTCCACGTGGGCCATCCTCTTTCGTGGTCCCCACTCAAAAAGAAAAAAAAAATCCGCCTAACAAATCTCCGCCACAAAAACATAACCAATTGGACTTTTGTCTCTGTCCGAGTGATCAGTGGGCCCCATTCAATTCTATCTCAGCCGTCCGATTTCTGGCGGTTAAATCCCAAATCCTCTTCTCCACCGTTGGATCCCCACTCAATTTGCCGCTGATATTTGTTCAGATATTTTTTTCCCTGCGTTTCTTTGTACGAGAGGAACCAAACGGATGAGATTTCCAGCGCCCCTTTTCTTCTTCTTCTTCCTCCTCGGTTAATTTCTCCCTCTTTTTCTGCTCCTGCTCCTTCGTTTCTGATCACGCCTCCGCCTCCGACGACTGTGAAATGGCTGAGGCCGTGGTGGCGACTTCTGAGGGTGTGGATTTTGGTTATGCGACGGCCGAAATCGAGAACAATAGAGAAAACAGTTCAAATGGACTTGGGATTGGGATCAAGTGGGATTGCTTTTTGCCCAAGGTCATGCTCAGGGTCTTGCTTGTTGAAGCTGACGATTCCACCAGGCAGATTATCACTGCTCTTCTCCGCAAGTCCTGCTACCGAGGTTTAATTTCTTTCTTCTTCTCCATAATCTCTCGATTTCCTCTCTTAATTTTTCGATTCTGCCTTTTTTTCTTCCATTTCGTTCGTTTCTTTTACCTACACACTCACCTATTCCTCTTGATTTACTCTGCACAGCCAAATTTTGTGGTATTGTTAGAATGACTCTGTTACTGTACTACAAATCCGTCTTTCTTCTGCTTTTGTTTTGTCTCTCTGCTTGCTGTCCTCTGACTCTAACTTTTTCAACCTCCTTGTTTATTTAGAATCTGTAATCTTTGTTCTTGCTGAAATAATGTCTTGTTTCTGTTACTTGACACAAAATGGCGTTAACATGTAATACAACGCACCAGCTTCAAAATTGATGGGCAAAAATTTACCGATTTATGCCAATTTCTTCTTAACTGAAGAATAGTTTGGGTTTTCTGGTTGAAACAGTTGCTGCTGTTCCTGATGGCATGAAAGCGTGGGAGATTCTCAAAGCAAGGCCCCGTAATGTAGATCTTATATTGGCGGAAGTTGAATTACCATCAATGTCTGGATTTTCTCTGCTAACTCTGATCATGGGGCACGAGACTTGCAAAAATATTCCTGTTATAAGTATGTTCCTGAAAAGACCGATGGATAGGATGTGCATATCTGAAATTTGCTTTTTGTTATGCAAAAACTAGTTCTAATTAGTAGCCATTTGACTTCATGCAGTGATGTCATCTGAAGATTCTATCAGCACCGTTTATAAATGCATGATGAAAGGTGCAGCAGACTATCTTGTTAAGCCCTTAAGGAGAAATGAACTGAGTCATCTGTGGCAACATGTTTGGAGAAGACAAGCAGTATGCTATTCCTGATTCTCTGACTATTTTATTTCATATTTTGGTGTCAACTATGAATTACAGAAATCTAAACTGCATCGACCAACGTTTGTTTCAGTCATCCAATGCAAGAACTGACATTCAAGAAAAGGTTGAAGTCACTTCAGAAAATGAGACTGCAAGCAATCACTCCACTGATTATGTTGCTGGAGTTGAGAGGAATGACAACAACACTGAGAAAGGGAGTGATACTCAGGTTAGAATGGATTTACTAATGATGGATCAAATGTAGGACTTTCGGCAAAATGCAATATGGGTACTGAATTTTGTTGCCGCAATCTTATGTATGCAATACCAGAACTATTCTGATATTAATGTTATCACATGCAATACCAGAACTATTCTGATTCGCACTGTTTTAAAAACTATTTAAAGTGAGATGTTGGTCCTTGAATGTACTGCAATGTTCTTTGTCTTCCTTTCGAAATGGGTAACCCTGAATTCTTATTGATGGTGAAATCTGTGTGAAAGTACATGGATACTTCAAAGATTTTAACTTAATAATTGATGTACTTATTTGTTCTTATGAATCTAACCATGATTATAAGGAATATTTCAATTATAATTCTAGCCAAATACTAATGTTTTAGTGTTCTTTGCAGAGCTCTTCTACAAAGGTAGATTTTGAGGCTGGTAGTAAGATGCAGGAAAGTTCACAGCCGAGGCAGGAAAAAGCCTCTTCAAATGACTTCAAGCTACAGAAAGATGGGGGTCACATCAATTTGAGTCAGAGATTGGCTATACATGAAAATGAATCTGGAGGTACACCATATTTGTTTTTTCTGTTACTATAGTGACATTTGGATATGGTCCTTTTTCCTTTTTGCAGAATCTAACTTTTATAAGTGTTCCTATTGTATTAGGATTGGCAATGAGTTGCTATGCCAATGATGATTTACCAATTACACTAAGCATGGGTCTTGAGCCGACCAATGATGGGAGAAGTCCTTATATTGCTAGTGAAGCAGAGGATTTGCTTGCCAACCCATCTAGAGATGCAACTGCGTTGAATCATGCCTGTATCAATTATCCCGATGACTACCAAAGAAGATCTCCTTCCACTGTTGCTGCCACAAACAATTTCGGCTCTGCTCTTCATTTGGATCTTTCCCTAAGAAGATGTCAACCTAATGATTTTGAGGACCGTGCTGCAGAAGGACGAGCTACCCTCAAACATTCCAGTGCTTCAGCTTTTACAAGGTGCCATTTCTCTTTGGTTCTGATCCTTAGCCTTTCATTTGTGTCTCTGCTTGTGGCTATGTATTGTCATTAGGAGACTAATGCATCAATCTGAACTCTAGCCATTATCACTTGGAAGTGAATGTTTTCCTAGTAAATACTTACCGAGAAATACAAATCCTTTGAAATTAGAAATTCATCCCTTCAAGTGGATAAAAGGCTAAAGCCTATTCATCTTATCCTATCCCTCGTTTTACTCTTTGGAAAAGGTTACTGCTCGCATAATTATCCCTTGGAATTGATAGCAACTGATTGAGTTCTCACTTTGGTTTGAGAAGCTTTCTTTTGTTACCCTTCTCTCATGTGTTTGTATAATTTGTTCCAGAAATACAGGGGCGTATATTAAGTTTTGCACGTCAAATTGCTAGGTAGTGGGTGAGGGCTGGGCGATCGAGCTTTTGAGGACTTGATGCAAGTCTGTAACATTCCAGGTGTATGGGGTCTATCCTTATGCAAGAATTAGGGAATGTACTATAATACCTTGAATCTCAGCTCCTTTGTTTCGATGGCGAAGAGTTGAATGGCTTAATTAGTTTAGTTATGGGAGAAGAGGGTATTGTGCGATCAGCTTTTGGTGTCTCTTTATCAGCACTACGATGTTTATTTTCTTCCTATTTGCTGAGTCTTGTGTGGTGATCCTGCAGATACACTTCCAGGCCATTGCAAACACTTCAAGCAAAATCAAGCAGTATCTGTGATGAACAAAAAGAATTTGGAAGCAATCCCGAGCATATTGGAAGTATTGCTGCTACTCCTACCTCTGATACCATTAATACTACGCTAAGTCTGCAAAACAGTAATACTTCTATGCCCCTGATGACAAGTCTATCTGCTCTCTCTGAAGTTGCAAAATCAAGTACTTCAGAGACAGAAATCCCTCATCAAGTTACAGTGAAAGATTTGATGTCTAATAGTCAATGCTCTGGCCATGGCTCTTTGCTTTCTCCCAACTTGTGCACACAAGGGGGTGCGTCATCGTCTCCATGCTCAACTTTAGTCACTCATCCCGAACCCATCTTGGCAAAACAGACAGTTTATCCCCTAAACCTTGAGAATCATAATTTGGAGCAGTTTCTGAACCAGCATCCCAACACAAGTGATTCAGGAAGCCGAAAGTTAGAGAACTCAGGGAAGAAGTTGGAGTATGCAGAAAATCAAGGCCATATATCACCTACCACTGATCACAGTGCAAACAGTAGTCTATGTGGTGGTAATACAAGTCATGTTCGAAGCGTGGGATATCCTAGCACATGCGGAAGCAACAACAATGTCGACCGGGTTGGCATTGCTGCAAGGGTTACATCTGAGACCAAAAATGAAGAAGCTTTGTCTTATCAAGGAGGAGATCCTCACCGGAGCAGTCAAAGAGAAGCAGCTCTAACAAAGTTCCGACTGAAGCGAAAAGATCGATGTTATGATAAAAAGGTAGGCAATTTATCTCGCTTCTTTATTCAGTTTTTCACCGTGCTGTTTTCTTATGGGAGGAATTTCATGTTCAGGTGCGTTATGAGAGCAGGAAAAAGCTGGCAGAACAGCGTCCTAGAGTGAAGGGTCAGTTTGTCCGTAGAGTATACACTGATGATCCATTGCCTGCAGAAAGCAACGCCAATACATCCAACGGTTAGGACTCGGTCTAAACTTCTTGAATAAACCTTAATTCTGCCTGATTACTGCCTTAATACTAATAGAAACTGATAAAAAAACAAGTCATGGCTATGGTAAGTACAGGAAGCATCTTTTGCATTAGAGCTGTGTTAGTTTTAGAGATCTCATGAGGAACATTCTTTACATTTAACACGTAGAATCATATGTTCATTCCAACTTGTGTATAGGAGTGTTTTTTTTTTCTTCTTTTTGGTCTGTTAGGACATACTTCTTCATGGAGTTGAACTGAGTTTGCTGATGTAATTCAAGTATATTGAGACCTTAGCAGTCAAATAACAGAACTGAAGCATTCCCTAGTCCACCAAGGCCTGTGCTTGATGATTTCTGTCTTGTAGAAACACAGTATCCATAGACAAGCTTCATAAGTAACTGGTTTTGGTCTTAAAATGCTAAACCATTCGCTGCTAAGCTTGAAAGCATGCTCAACACAAGATAGAAATTTAATGACAGATCAAAGCATATCTCATCCTGATTCAAAATTTTCAAAAGAACTCCCCAGGGGACCATTGAATAGCTAGAAAAAATCCGAGCCCGCTTACGAAAAGTCGAAGTCAAGGACTAAAACAAGCATTTTAAAGATACAAAAACGAAGATAATGTAACCCTACAATATAATAGAATGAAATTTTAACTTAACAGTTAAGATACATAAACATAATAGGGCAGCTGAGCCAACGAACCACTTATCCATTTTTTCTCTATGAACAATAATTTCGTCTATACAAGAACATCGAACATTATTCATTGAAAAATATCGAAACTAAAAACAAGAAATTATATTTATAATAAAAATTGACTTAAAACCCTATGGCTTGGCTTAGAAATATAATAACCCATTGATTTGGTAGCCATTGATAAGGTCAAAATTTGCTTTCAACATCCTGCGGCTATGGGCATGATGTGATGCCACCAAATGGCTGTTGGACTCATTCCTTTCAATCCTCCCCTTTCCCACATGCCTTTCTTTAGCCCAATCCTTCAATTTTCTGCCCCTTTTGTTTCCTTCTCATCACAAAGTTATGCACATTTTGTGTTCTAAACTCAAAGATTTTTATTTTCCTTAGTGTATAAAAAAGTAAAGTTGAATCCACTAATTCTAATGGTGGGGTTTAGTTGCTTGGGGGTTGGTTTTGATTGAAGGCCTCAAAGCTCTCAATCATAACTTGTGGAAACACATGAAGAGAAAAAGCTCAAAAGTTACAATAAAGTTAACCCCAAAATTTGAAGTCTTTGCCATGGCTATGGTCCACAAAATTTCTACATCAACCCTGAAATATTCTCCACTAAACTTACCCACTTTTTTCAATCAAGCCCTAGAACCGTTTCGGGATTGTGATCAGGTTCACCGACCGCCATTGACTTGGCTTCGTCGTATCGATATGAAGTTTGTTCAGTCTATATGTTCGAATTTTGAAACTTCGTTTTCTTAACATAAAAGAAAACGTTCATCATGGTTGATAGGTCTATACTGTTGAATGGGGAAGAGGGGAATTGTCAAAATTGATCGTTTTTGTGGTTTGAGATAAGGGTCACCCAACCATAGTGCACAACACAATGACTCGACCTTGTTCAAATTCTTAAATCGTCCCTCAAAACCAAACAATTATTAAGGTTGATAGTTCTATACCGTTGAAGGTAGACAGGTAGACGGATAAATTGTTAAAATAGATCATTTTTTGTGACTTATGGGTTTAGAGGTATTAAATTTCCAAATTTATATCCTACCATTATTAAGAGCCAAGTTGAGATAATGATCGCTATAGCCACAACCACAACCAATGCACTAACTCGACCTCTTCGTTTTGATCTGAAATCTCTCCAACTAATATGTTCAAATTCTTAAACTCCGTTTCCTTCCCTCAAAAGCAACCACTCATGAGAATGAGACTACTCCCATTTCTTCATGCATAATAAAGATCTAAAAAAGTTACCCTTTTGCTTTAATAATTCACCAATTTGTCAATATCTGCTCTTTGCAATCAAGTTCGGGTCGACTCGAGCATAGTTACATGGCACCTGACGGGTATCTCTTTGTTTAGAGCCAGAGGTTCAAATTCACATACTCTGTACCGATAAGTAAAAGCTACCCTATGTGTCTGGTAGCTTTATTGCCCATCAACCATGCATTTCCAATAAAAACGAGTACGAGCCCACAAACGATGGATGTATTGGCGTTTTTTCCATTGTACCATTATGTAGAAAGCATCTAAACCTCTTTCAACAATAAATTCACCAAGTAAATTAATTATCTTTTCTAAAGCTAACCGATAGTTTCACATCATCTTTGTTCAATTACTTTTGTACATGATTGAGGACAGTGGCCCCAAGATTTTGTACTCACATTACTTTTTGCCTTGCTTCTAACATAAAACTACTACAAAGCTTTTTAAAGTAATTAGCTTCTCCCAAGAAAGATCTATCTTGATGATGGTCTTTTAATTGGCTTGTGTTTTGTTCTTCTTATAGGTGAAATTTAAAGCTATATTGGACCCACTAACTCAATAAGGCCTCTAAGAAAAACCGAGCTGAGGAGCTACGAACAAAGCACATGAGACAAACAATCTATTGAACTCGATCTTATCTGAGTCGAGGTATACGTTGCCCATTTCCTAAACTTCTACTTGTTACAACTCAAACCCACCGTTAACAAATATTATCCTCTTTGAGTTTTCCCTTTTCGAGCTTCCCTTCAAAGTTTTTAAACGTGTTTGCTGTGGTGAGGTTTCCACACTCTTATAAACAATGTTTCGTTCTCCTCTCCAACTGATATGAGATCTCACAATCCATTCCTTTCGAGCCCTAGTGTCCCTGCTGACACTCGTTTCTCTCTCTAATCTATGTGGGATCTCACACTGCTATCAATATCTACACGATCTTTACCATGATCACGTGACATTCTATCCACACATTTGATACGTAATTATTGAAGTAAAAAGTTAGGTTGGCGAAGGTTTACATGTGTGAGTTTGGGTGTGGCTGTGTGTGTGTATGGGCATGCGTGCCAGCCACCCCAACGCCCACTAGCTGAAGTAGGCAGTCAAAAGCAAGATGTCCAAAAGTCTCTTCGTTAATTATTGCTACTCTTTTTGTTTGTGTGGCTACCCCACACCATCCCTCCTCCTTTATTTACTTACCTCTTCACCTCTCAGGACACCCAAATCCCATTGAATATCCCTTCCCTCTGTTCTTCCCTGCTAATTAAATGTCTCGAGAAGACGTGAAATCCCCCAAACACTGCGCCAATAAGCAACAATTGAAGCTCGACAAGCACTACAAGAAGCTGTTCCTCGCAGCATCAGCAACCTTATCCACAATTTCGCTGCTCATCCTCCTCCTCTGGCTCATCCTCCGCCCATCCAAGCCAGAGTTCGACCTGCGTCAGGCGGATGTCTACCAGCTCAACCTCATAGACCTTCACCTCCTCAACTCCTCCATTCAGCTCACCCTCTCATCCAAAAACCCAAATCAAAAAATGGGTATCTTCTACGACCAGCTCCAAGTATACGCCGCTTACAAAGGGCAACAGATAACCATGGGCACCTCCCTCCCAGGCTTTTACCAGGGGCAAGAAGAAAGCAATTTGTTGACGGCTTTCTTGGCCGGCAGCAGCGTGCCGGTGGCGCCGTCGTTTGGGTATGAAGTAGGGCGTGATCAAAGCGCTGGGCGGTTCGTGCTCAAAATCAAAGCCATGGGGCGGCTGCGATGGAAGCTGGGGAGCTGGGTTTCTGGGCGCTACCGATTTAATGTGGATTGTGTCGCGGTGATGCCTTTTGGGCCTACGCTCCCGACGGCTCCCCTCACTTTGACCCAACCCACTCGCTGCTCCACAACGCTTTGAGTTCATCATAATCCCTCCTTGTTCTTCCCCTAATTGCATTGCTTTTATGCTATGTTATGGACTTTGTTACCAATAGCTTGCTCTGTATATTACTTAGAAATTGAAATACATTTGTAGTCAGTCGATTATACGAGCACTAATACACTAAATTCTACTATTTCGTTAGGCGTGCTTGGTCTCGAGTAATCTTAAACGGAAAGTATATAGTTAAGCGAGCTTGGATACGAGTAATCTTAAACGGAATATTTTCTTGGATCTAATTTTAAAGATCGAAGAGCTCGATTCTTTCATCAACTCGATTTAGGATAACCAAGCGACCGACCGAACAACTCGGTTTCTAGGTTTGAGAAAAGGTAATGGGTTGGTGGGTACCATGGATTTGAGAAAGTAAGACAGCTTTTTTTCAAATTTCAAAAAGGTTGGAGAAATTTATGGTGAATAAAATGACTAATATTTGATTTTAAATTAGCTATAATAGAAAATTATTTTATTTTTCCATTACCTATACCTAAAAAATAAATACATTTACAATTTAATACTAAAATAATATTTAATATCTAATTTATTATAAGATAGTTATATAAAATTTTATATGATTTAAATAACAATTGTTACAAAACTTTTAGTTAAAAAAAATAATAATAAAACAATATAATTAATTTTTTTTGAAATAATATTAAAAAATAGAAGTTTTTTTTGGAAAACTTATTTAACAAAATATTTTAGATAAATTATTAATTTAAGATTCTTCCTAATAGATTTAGTGGAAAATATTCTTTTTTTATTCTATTATTTTTCTTTTATATTTTATAATTTTCACATTTTTAATTCAACGAAAGAGGAAGCAAAAAATTAATTGAAAATATTGTTTTAGATCTCTTTATTATTACAATTTTGAAACAATGTTACCAAATTAAACTGAGTTTAATTCAATTAGGAATTTTTTTTGGGTTCGGTTCGTTAATTTTTTAAAAATTTTAAAAAATTCGATTCGATTTTCGACGTTGGTTGGAGAGAGAAACGAAACATTATAAGAGTGTGGAAACCTTTCGCTACAGACATGTTTTAAAACGTTAATGAAAAGCTCAAAAAAGATAATATTTGTTAGCGGTGAGTTTGGAACTGAGCTCTCACATCTTCATATATATATATATATATATATATATATTTTGAAATATTTAATGAAAATGGGCCATAAATGGGCTGGAAATGGGCCATAAATGGGCTGAAAAGAGGTGCGCTCAGAATTAGCCCAATATTGATTGGAGATTAGGAACCCTGAAAGGCGATTATAGGTAACGCTATTTATACGATTACCGGAGCTTCTTCTCCTCGTAGTCTCTATTTGTTTCTCATGCCATTTCCTACTTCCGCCTTTTCAACTTATCTATTCATTAAGAACAATGCCGTCTGCTCCCGTCGCCGACTCCACCGAGCCTGAGAAGGAGGCCGTCCAAATCTCGTCGTCTGCAGCCGAATTAGAGAAGAAGCTTCAGGTTCTCCAATTCTTATCCTTGGATTCTGTTTTTTCTCTTACTCGGTTCGTGTTTTTCTAAATGCATTTTTGCAGTTCGATGACAAACCGGTTGTTGAAGACGTTGAGGATGACGACGATGACGATGACGACGACGATGATGATGACGGAAAGGAGAACGGGGCTCTTGGTGAGTTACTTTCTTCTCGTCTTTTATCTTTCTTACGTTCTTTTTCCCCGAGTCTGATTCCCTGGATTATGAAATTAGTTATGAAATACAATGCAATTCTGCCGTTTTTCAAATTTTTGTCTGAGAAAAAGAAATGCAGATGGATGAATGGATGGAGCCTAATCTTCAAATTCTTTCTCCTAATCTTCAAATTCTTTCTGCCTCTTCATATTTTCTGCTACTAAACGTATTTTGAAACCTGAATTTTCTTTTTATGTTAAATTAGGTTTCTGTGATTAACTGAGATGTAGATTGTTTTGGTTTTCATTATAAGCATTGTAACCTCGTCTCTTTGGTGCCAAATTTCTGTTTTATAATTGGACATTGTCTATAACATTTACATGATACCATTTATAGTTTGAATAGATACTTGACATGGATACTTTTTCTGTTAGTAACTACGTTCGTAATCTCTGCTTCAACCTTCCTTGACGATTTAAACGATGGTGTTAGTACTTATGGATCATCCAAGTCCAAGTTGTATAGAGTTTGTTGTTTTGGACTGCTAGTTTCAGATTTCAGGTTCCAGATAATGGAATGTAATTTCTGGGAGGTTGAATCAATTTTGTTTGTTTGTTTGTTTGTATTAGATGGAGGTTCAAATGAGAGTTCAAAGCAGAGCAGGAGTGAAAAGAAGAGTCGCAAGGCGATGCTGAAGCTGGGTATGAAACCAGTTACTGGTGTTAGCAGAGTCACCATTAAAAGAACCAAGAACGTAAGCTTAAGCTTGAATCTCCATCACCCCATGTGTTGGTCCATTTGTTTCTGGGTTACAAACTAATTTCCATGGCTTTCACATTCAGATATTGTTTTTCATATCAAAACCCGATGTGTTCAAAAGTCCAAACTCTGAGACGTATGTGATATTTGGAGAGGCAAAGATAGAGGATTTGAGTTCTCAGTTGCAGACACAAGCTGCCCAGCAATTCAAGATGCCAGACATGGGACAGGTGATGGGAGGAAAATCAGAGATTTCTGGCAGTAGTGCAGCTGGAGCGTTGGTTGAAGAGGAAGAGGAAGAGATTGATGAATCTGGGGTGGAGGACAGGGACATTGATTTGGTAATGACACAGGCTGGGGTGTCCAGAACCAAGGCCGTCAAGGCCCTCAAGACCCACGACGGGGATATTGTCAGTGCCATAATGGAGCTCACAACTTGAGTTGAGTAGTCTCTCCAATCCGCTCTCTTCCTTTGCTTTGGTGATTCATGAGTTCTTAATTTTCTTGCTACCTTTCTAGTTGGACTATGAGTTCAAGTTTTTGTACGTTTTTTCTGGTTGCCTTTTGCTTTAATTCTTCAAATTCCATTCATTGAGACTGCTTCATGTTTGACTTGTTTTCGTTGTTAGACCAATTGGATCGTTTTTTTCTTTCTTATTGTTCTTTTATGCAGAGGGGTATGCCAATTTAATCCCATTATTGAACAAAGCTACCTCAATTTAATGGCAAAAAAACGTTTGGCAATTCCAAGGAGGAAAATCTTTACCAGCGGTACTGTTTATTCTGTGCCTAGACAGGGGTGGATTGTGAGATTCTCTAAAGGGGTTGTGAGATTCTCTAAAGGGGTGGTCCGTTAATTTAGAGATTTGAATGAAACAGATTCTCTAAAGGGGTGGTCTGTTAATTTAGAGATTTCAATGAAACATTTTTTTACCAAGAAGAGTTATTCTTTACAAATGTGTGAAAATTCTCCCTAAAAACCTAATTTTAAAATTGTGAGACATATTTTTTATATGTTTCACATTTGTTTTGATATTTCAAATATGTTTGAGGGTTTTTTCTAGAAGACAAATAATATTATTGAACTTCCCGAAAAAAATTATATCATAAACGTTATATTTGAAAATTTTAATATATTTAAAAAAAAAAAGTATATATTGGACTAAGTTGTTACTTAAAAAGTTATCGGACAATTTTTTTTTTTTGACGTTATATATATATATATATATATATATATATTATTGAGAAGGTAATTTCTTACTTTCCTCTCGAATAAAAAATAACCTTTTTGACATTTTGTGTGAATATATCACATACTACATATACATACATATACACATATACGTACATATGTATATATATATATATATACACATACATGTATAAATATATAATATTAAATTAGGGCAGGCTTGGGATTCTAAAGCTGAATAAGAACAAAAGTAATACATATTTGTTATCCATCCACCGCTCTCTGGATCCGGCTCGAAGCCTCAATTTTCTGCGGAACTAAACTGTCGCCGGACGATAGAGGAGGCAACGGAGAAGAAATTAAGGCTCCAATTGGCTTATCATAGATGGAGCAGGGGAAGCAGGGAGTGGTAGTTAAATTGAGCCCTCCACAGAACCCATTGGAGCAGGTTCAGGCTCGTTTCAAGGAACTTGAAAATGGGTTCAGAACATGGTTGGCCAAGCAGTCTCTCCCCGTTGAGGCCGCTGTTGTCACCGCCACCAGCGCCGCACAGGGCGCTGCTATTGGTGGCTTTATGGGCGTTCTCACCAACGACGTTTCTTCGTCTCTGCCCACTCCTCAAGCCGGCCTCAACCCTCAAGCCATGGCCTCTTTCAAGCAGGCTCAGGTCCTATTTTGGTTCCCCCTATTCGTTGTTTGATTTTATAATTTTTTCCTGATTGAAATGTGAGAACTGTCTTATTTGTTGAAATTCTGTAGTTTTATGAACAAATGTGGAATTTGGGGGAGCTGATTCTTGTAGTTTTCTTATGAATTGCAGGCTCTTGCTGGAGGTCCCTTGGTGCAAGCTCGCAACTTCGCCGTGATGACCGGTGTTAATGCAGGCATATCTTCTGTTATGAAGAGATTGAGAGGCAAGGAGGATGTTCAGTCAAGGTAAGGTTTTACGAAGTCTCCGCGTTTCCTTTTCCTTGTTGATTATTTACAAGGGTGTGGAAACCTCTCTCTAGCAAACATGTTTTAGAAATCTTGAGGGGAAGCACAAAGAGAACAATATCTCTAGTGGTGAGCTTGGGCTGTTAGAAATGGTATTAGGGGCAGACACTGGGCGATGTGCTAGCATGGAGGTTGAGCCCAAAAGGGAGTGGACAAGGACGCTGGGCCCCGAAGGGGATGGGTTAGGGTGTCCAACATTGATTGGAGAAGGGAATAAGTGCTTGCAAGAACGCTGGACTTGAAGGAGGTGGATTGTGAGATCCTACATCGGTTGGGGAGGAGAACGAAACATTCTTTATATGGGTGTGGAAATCTCTCCATAGCAGATGCGTTTTAAGAACCTTGAGGGGAAACCCAAAAGGGAAAGCCGAAAGAGAACAATATCTACTAGCGGTGAACTTGGGCTGTTATAAGTGGTATTAGAGATAGACACCGGACGATGAGCCAGCGAGGAGGCTGAACCCCAAAGGGGGTGGACACGAGGTGGTGTGCCAGCAAGGACACTCCCTCATATTTCAACTCATTTTCTTTGTGTTAAAGATTCAGATTTGACATTTGAGAATGGGTTGGGAGAGTTTCATTTGGTGAGTTGATTATGGTTTCTAGACTCTTGGATCTCAAGGGTTTTTAAAATCTTAATAGCGAGTTTGAAGGCTTGGATCGTGTTGTTTGGGATTATTGGTGTAACGACCTATGCCCTGGATTTGGAATTTGGGCACTTGATAGCCTCGACATTTCCTTGCATTCCCTACGACGTGGTCATGTTACTTCTCGCTTCTAAGAGTGAAGATGCTCCCTACAGACCAACATGAGTCCTTCCAAAATCCTTTATCCTCACTAATATGCACCCAACATAGAATTTCTCCAAGCAAAACACACTTAACCATAGAGTTCCTATGATAGAGCTACAAAAAAGGAAGGTGCACCATGTTGGTATAGATAGTAATGTTCATTTCCTTTAGGCCTTTTTTAGTCCTTCTATCCTCAGGATTCCTCTCGTTCGGATTTGGTTTCAGTTCATTCATGTACCCCTCTTTTACTCAAATGTCACATGCCCACCAGCTTTCACCTTGGTTCGTCCCCGAACCACATCTTACAGGGAGAGGTATCGCTTTGATACCATTTGTAACGACCCATGCCCAAGATTCATATCAAGATTTGAAATCCAGATTTGACACTTGATGACCCCGGCATTTTCCTACGACATGGTTATGGTACTTCCCACTTTTAAGAGAGAAGACTATCCCCTTGTGCTTAGGCTGACTTTCTTGTTACCTTTTGGGGTCTGTGATTTGAAATAAACAACAGTGTTTAGGGATGCGGAGAGGTGCTGGGCGTAGGTTCGGTCATAACTGAAGCCTAACGCCTCTGTTTGGGCGTCAGTCTCGAAGGATCTTTATGGTTACCCATTCGGTTTCATCACGTGGAATTGGAGCCATTTTTTGTATAGCTAGTTTCTTGCCTCCTTCTATTAGTAGCCTATAATATCAGAAGGGCATAGTTCTTGTAGCCAACTAGTTTTAGTTTGTTTCCATGTTGCATATAGTAACCTCTTAGCTCTATTTAGACTGCTCGTTTGTTTCCTGAACTCGACCAATACGATTTTACTTGCTATTCCAGCATGGTGGCTGCTTTTGGATCTGGGGCCATGTTTTCGTTGGTGAGCGGAATGGGAGGCCCGAATCAGGTGGCAAACGCCGTCACCTCGGGTCTTTTTTTCTCGCTCGTTCAAGGTGGACTCTTCAAGGTATGCATCAATAACAACTGTTCTATTATTCTGATAAATTTCAAGCGTTTCAAGCTCGTCCTCGGCTGTTCCTTTGTTCTTATACCAAAATTTGGAACTTGTTTTAAGAATCAATGGTGTTTTGCAGTTAGGCGAAAAGTATTCTAAGCCACCTGCGGAAGACGTGTTCTACGCTAAAACACGAAGCATGTTGAGTAACCTTGGCCTTGCTAGCTATGAGAAGAATTTCAAGAAAGGCTTATTGACTGATAGCACATTGCCTCTGCTCACTGATAGGCATGTATATTGAATTCATGTTTTCATACTTATGGTTATAATCAATGCATTGGCTAAGTATGTATACCCTTCTGCTTTGACGTGTGCCAGTGCGCTTAGAGACGTTAAGATCCCCCCGGGACCGAGGCTTTTGATTCTCGATCACATCCAGAGGTTTTAATCGAGCTCTATAGCAAAGTTCTTGTTGCTTCCATTGTTGTATGTCGTCTCGTTTATGGCTAACTTTTGATTTCAGGAACGCCGAGCTACGAGAGAGATGAAGCGGGTTGAGTGAGCAGCTTGTCCCAAGAACTCTTTGTAGGTGAACTTGAGGAGGTAGGGAAGTGGTTAGTTCATCTTGAATAGGAAGAATATGTTCGATAAATAGGACGTTTTTGTCGTTTGAATTTGCACCAAATGCACCTTTTGATTTGATTGTTGTGGATGACTGAACCATGGCTTTGTTTATGAATGAATGATGGAACAACTTGGTTTGGTTGGCATATTGACGAAAAATTTGTATTGTTAAAGATCACGTTGTGCCTACAAGACAAAGAGAGAGGTGAATGTGGGTGTGGTGCTAAACCACCATAACTCCGACATCGACTCCGACATCGACTGAGATTTGTCATATTGGCCGACCTTCAAGGGGTCAAGAGGTCCGTCATTTAAACTTCTGTTGGTTGGGACTCATCTTTGGTCAGGACTCGTGGTGGTTGACACTATCAAGTTCGATTAATCTTTGGATTTGTTTTTCAGTCTTTTTGTCAATATCAAGGGTCTCATCTTTGGTTAATACTCGTGGTGGTTGGCACTATCGAGTTCGACTAACCTTTGGATTTGTTTCTCGGTCTTTAAAATTTTACTTTAGATGGGTTCTCGACCCAATCAATAGTCTCACTTCCAACAAGTGCAAAGATCCAATCATCTCACTTCCATGTTTTCGTCCATTTTGCTTCCATTTTTCAACCCATAATGGGATTTCGTTCATTTTGCTTCCATTTTTCAACTCATAATGGGAATCAAATTTATGGTGTTAGTTTTCTTTTCGTCTACGCCACGGTTGAGACTCATCGACCCAAAAAATGAAGAAAAAGAGTGACAAAAAATGGATGAACTATGGATTTAAAGATTTATGAGAACTATTTTTTGAACCTTTTGGAATTCATTTTTAATTAATTTTACTTTTAATAACAATTTTGAAATTGAATTACCTTACAAATGTAATATTTATGAAATTAATACTCGTTTTAACCCATTTACATGAAATTAATACATATCATATAATTACATTAATTGAAAGCTTAAACAATGTCACAAGTTTAAGTGATTTCAAGAATTATAAACAGATTAATTCGATTGAAATTTGAGCTTTTAGCTTATTTGAAATTCATCCAAATTTAAAAATGACCAATTCTTATTCAAGGAGGAAGAACAGAAATTTCTGGATTTACAAGCCAAGCAGCGGATCAAACCACATACATATCTCTACTAAAATTGGCGCTTCAATAAAACATCAAGCCAAAAATATATATATATATATATATATCTCGATGATCAAAATCAATCACTGCTTCGAAGACGCAAATCTAGACAGAGGCAGATTGGAGTTGCGGTTGTTGCAGTCGGATCTGCAGCAGTTTCTGAGCCTGCGAGAGCTGGTTCATCAACGCCGCGATTTGGTGGTGGTAATCGCGGGCCTGCGTGAGCGCCTCCGCCTCGAGTTCTCCGAGTTGAGAGGACAGCCTCTCTTCGGCCTCCTCGGCGACCTTGAGCCTCTCGCAGGCTCTTTGTAGCTGCTGCCGCATCACCTGCTCTCTTTCGCGGCTCGCCTGAAGCTCCTTCTCGAGCTCCTCGTTCCTCCGCCTGATGGCGAGATCGGATCCGTCGTCTTGCTTGAACGTTTTCAGAATCCCCATTGTGGCCCGAAATGGCTCTGGGTTTTCTGGAGTGGTGCGATTTGGGGTCCGTCTGCTGGTGCTCTTAAAGGCGATCAATGGGGCGTCCAGGTTCAATGAATCCGCTCCATTTCTTGCCCGAATTTTCCCAGCCTCTCTTCTTTTTTTCTGTTTTGACATTATCTGGTTGTATTATTCATTACCTATATGCTTCGCTCATTGGAGTCGTTTTCTCCACTTTACAAGATTCGGCATATTCTACTTTCAAAAATGGTTAATAAATCAAACCAATGACACCGACGCCACGCCACTACGCACGCCAATTGCCTCACCATTACTTCAATTATATATTTTTTCTTTTAAATTTTGTCCTACTTACAAAAATATCTCATAAATTTTTGTAATTTTTTATTACGTTTATGATTTTTTTTACTTTAAAAGTTTCAAAAATAAATTTATAATTTTAAAAATTTAAGAACTAATCGAGAATTGATGTGTATTTGAATCATAAGGGCTAGTAATCGACGATATGCTCATGTTGGTGACGTTATTGTTGCTGCAATCAAGAAAGTCGTCCCAAATATACCTCTGGAAAGATCAAAAGTGATTAAAGCTATAATTGTATGTACTTGTAAAGAACTCAAACGAGGAAATGGTAATATGATATGATGACAATGCTACCGTTGTTATTGATCAAGGAAATCCAAAAAGAACTCGAATTTTTGGTGCAATTGCCCGAGAATTGAGACAGTTAAATTTCATGTTAAAATTTCAGGAACTAAACCAATACAAATGCTATATTTCAAGAGCTTTATTTTTTATTTAACTTTATAATATTTACCGATCATTGGGAAAAAAAAAATGAAAACTTTTTACTAACTATTATATATAGTTACTGTTTTTAGAATTTATAGTGTTTATGAGATGAAACGGAGATTTTCACATTGCACAATCAAAGAAGTTGTGTCTACGCTCTAGATGCCCACATCAGTATCAACCTGCACCACATCAGTGTGAGATTCCATTTGAAGATTAACACCTTAGCTAACTAGAGCTCACCTCAAATAAAGCATCAACAAGTACATCAATAACTAAACATTTCGGAACCACGAGAAGGACTAACCATATAAGAGGTGTGAAAAAAGACTCGTGCCTCGTTCCCCTAGGGAGAAGACTATCACCCTCAAAAGAGGCGGAGGCGAAATGATACCATGTTAAATCACCACTAAACCTATTGGATACAATTTATTACATCAATGCGACTCAAAATCTAAATCCAAACATGCATGGCAAATAAACTTCCAAAACTTAGACCCTAAACACACAATTCCTAAACTCAAAACATTAAATTGGCAACAAAGGTTTTATAACCTAACCAAGACACTTTCATATTGGTTATGAAAATATTTAGATGCAGGAAGAAATAAGAATATCATTCAGATGGCAGCTTAAAAAACAAGCATGGAATGACTTTGAACCAAACTGGATGCTTGCCAAACTCAAGGCGAACCTCTGTTCATTAAGAGTTGATGAACAAATGAAGATTAGAGATTAGTGGAATAGCACCAATGTCCCCAATGGAACTCCAGTGATCCTTCTTCAACAAACAAAGCCAGAACGATAGTAAAGAGATCCTCCTCAACAGAAAAATGAGGAAAAACCCTCCACCCTTTTGCCACTTCTGTTTGGATACTCCGACCTCTCCTCCAATCTCTTTACCTACCCTACCCTACCCTACCCTACCCTACCCTACCTACTAATTCTTATTCACATTTCCTGTCAGTCCTGTAAGCATTCGCCCTGTCACCTCTTGTTTCTCAGCAGTTGGTTAACTCCTTCCAGGATTTTCATTTTGCTACTACAGCAGCTTATTTCCATTGTGTTCTCCATCTTATTCCCACTTGGATAGGAGCAAGTCCTGATACCAATTAATATTATAATTAATATTGAGATATATATATATATGTACATAAATACATCCATACATACGAATATTATACAAATGATTATTGATATAGTAAGAGTGATATGTAATGTATCATGTTGAAATAAGCAAGGAAGAATACTTCTTATATAATTCTTAACTAACTCCCTTAAATGGCCCACCTATTATTCCCTTTCAAAATATGCTCATCTCCAATGTCACTATGCACGCTACGCACTCTTGCCTTTTTTTCTAAGGTATGTAGACTTTTTCCTAAAATATTGAACAAGATGAGGCGCACTGAGTTCGATTCAAATATGGCAACAGGTTATTCTGTTAAATTAATTGTAGATCCTCCCAATAGTATTGCTCAAGTTGATAAGGTAACATCTAGGCTGTTGTTAGTATCTTGCTACTATAATTGTTTGAAAGATAAACAAAAATGGTGTTGAAAAACAGAACAAAATGCACAGGTCATTCGAGAGATAACTAACTTCACTACTACATCACTACTATTCCCTCCCCTGCATATTAGGGATAACTAGCTTCTCATTTCCTTCTTACCCCTACTAGCATATACATCAGTGATATTCCCCATTTTAACTATAACGACCCAGATCCACCGCTAACAGATATTGTCCTCTTTGGGCTTTCCCTTTCGGGCTTCCCCTCAAGGCTTTAAAACGCGTCTACTAGGGGAAGGTTTCCACACCCTTATAAATGGTGATTTTTTCTCCTCCCCAACCAATGTGGGACTTCACAATCCACCCCCCTTCGAGGCCCGGCGTCCTCGCTGGCACTCTTTCCTTCCTCCAATCGATGTAGAACCACCCTCAAATCCACCCCCCTTTGGGGCCCAGCGTCCTTATTGGCACACCGCCTTGTGTCTGCCCCTCCCCCCCCCCTCGGGGAACAGCGAGAAGGCTGGCACATCGTCCGGTGTCTGGCTCTGATACCATTTGTAACGACCCAGATCCACCGCTAATAGATATTGTCCTCTTTGGGCTTTCCCTTTTGGGCTTCCCCTCAAGACTTTTAAAACGCGTCTACTAGGAGAAGGTTTCCACACCCTTATAAATGGTGATTTGTTCTCCTCCCCAACCAATGTGGGACATCACATTAACCTTCTTCCGAGTATACACAACAGTTGAGGGGTCTATCATTCGCCCATATGCATTAGATATGTAAAGGTAACACACAAGGTGAGTGAGGAAGTTGTTCCCCTTAGTTACTTCTGTTTCTATTGGTTGGATAGGCAATAAGGAGTTGGATGTTAGCCATGGTTATAGAGGTTTGTATTTGATGCATTGAGAGCGGATGGGAAGGGCGGCAGAATACAAGCTGTATTTGGAGAGCAACTTCTCGAATTATCTAAAAGTGTTTGTAATTCATAGTGATCAGAAATGAAATAGGAATTGAAGCAGGCCTTATGTAAGTAACTAACAATATCTAACACCCTTCTTTATCTACATCTTTATGAGTTAATAGATTTTTCCTTTAACAAATAATAATACTAAATTTCAAAATATTAAGGGTATGTTCATTACAGGAAAGCTAATGAGCATAAATAAACATATATCCCAACCCTTGAGACACCATCCTTTCTAGAGAAGGAAAATCCTAGACATGGTCAAAATTTTCTAAGCTGTATCTACAAACGATGAAAATTCATTCAAAACCAATGCAATTGGAAATTCGTAGCAACCTACTATGCTCAATAATAAACAAAAACCACAGTTACAGGTTACCGTCAGCTGACGAACACATGGAAGAAAATCCTCAGCAGTAAAAAGATCGACATGAGTGTTCCTCCCATCAGAAAAGCTCGAAGAACTTTTTCCTTGTTTCTCGGGCTCATTGAGGTGAGCTGGAAAATAATTATCTCCAAAATAGATTCACCATCCAAATAATATACCTACAAAAATACACAACTAGTAGTAATCATAAAAGAGTTCAATAATTTACTTCATCTTTGCTCATCGTAGTAATTATTTTGTATGCGCTTTAATTAATGATTCAGCTCTAAAATCAAATGCACCAGAATTAACCGATTGACATGAATGCTACTGGAATAGAATTATGAATAGTATTAGAGTATCATGAGTAAATGAGTAATTAGTTAAGGAGGTTGTCAAGGTAATTTTTATAAATATGGTGGGTAGGAAAGGATTAAAGGTAGGCATTGATCTAGTTGGTTTAGGCTTGAGGTATCTAAAATTGATCCTCAAAGTGGATATCACCAAATCTGTTCAGGGCCGGGAGAAGGGTGCAAGGTCGACTTTAAAACTAATGAGAAATTGTTTGAGTGGCTTGTAATGCCATTGAAACTTACTTAGTTATGCCCCTAGTACATGCATGTGCCTTATGAACAAAGGTTTACATACCTTTTTTGGAAAATTTGTGGTTGTATATTTCATGATATCTTGGCGTTTAACACAAGTCTAGAACACATTATTCACTTGAAGCATGTTCTCTCCACTCTTAAAGCCAACTCCTTATGTATTAACTTGCAAAGCTGTATTCTTGGAGTGTCAAACCTGTCTTTTTAGATTTTATAATATGTGAACTAGCAAAGAAGTTGACCATCATGAATGGCCAATACTTTCAAATGTCAAGGAATTAAAAGTTTCCAGGGGCTTGCATCCTTTCACATGAAGTTCATTCAAAATTTCAGCACCATAGTATCACCTTTAACCGAATGTCTAAAGAAAAAGGGTTTCATTAGGACAAAGATCAACAAGACAGTTTTGAGACCCTAAAACAAAGGTTAGCTTCAGCATCTATTTTTAGCATTACCTAGAACAAGTTTTTTTCTTTCCATGTAGGGGGAATCGATGTAGTTTGGTTTGATTATTCTCTCTTGGTAATCTAGCTTAGATATTTAATTTTACTTGATTTATAGTTAGGTGGTTAGTTGATTACTTTGGTTAATATGAATAACCACCCTTGTAATTAAAGTTCATTATCTCACGATCTAGGGGTCCACCTTTATACAGCTTTTTGAAAGATCAATAAAAATGCTGCAATAAGGCTTTCGGCTCTACCACCATTACTTAATTAGCAATACGTAAAAATTCCAAAATTCATAACTGCAGATATACTTACAAAAATCCTGCGCTGCACAAGACTAGAAGACCTAGACTAAACCCTAAATTTTATTTGATGTTATCCCCATGAAGTAAATCTGAAAACAATTTGCAAAATGGAGCATTAAAACATACCGGCAAACTGTTGAGAAGAGCAAGTGCAAGAGAGGCGTGAAATAAGCACAAGAAGATTCTTTCCAGTACATCTGGAAGATATCTAGCATAATGAAAATCCAATCTTGGCCGGTACATTGTCAGCTGAATAGAGTGCGCCATTGAAACCACGTCACCAACAAAAATGAAAGTTCCACTACAATTCGAACTTGGGAGTGGATTTTCTCTGGAATAGAAACAGTCTGAAGAATGGGGGTTCAAATATGTAATCTCGACCCATACCGAACCAGGCATTTGGACTGGACTTAAGCAAGTTTCATCCTGTGGATTAAAAATTTTCAAAAAAAAGGATGATAAGCTAAAGCCATTTCATGGGTCCAATTATTCAGAGTTAGACAGAGAACTTGCAAAATTACATAATGCTCACCAAAGATCAGGTATACCTGTGAACACATACAGGTGCTAGTGCTATCATTGATTATGGCTTTATCCCATCCACTAATGCATTTATTAAGCTTAATAATATCATTGACATTCAAGCAAAATATGCCTTCTTTGCGGTTATAATGGCTATCATCCACATCACCATCAACTAAAACGGTAGAACTAACACAAGGAATAGATGTAAAAGAAGTAAGGTCGCCAAAACAAGTTGACTGATCATGTGAGAACTGAACTTTATTGCTTTCTTTCAACATAAAATTTGGAACGCAGTATCCCTTTCTGCCATTGGCCATTCGGTCATTTTCACCAAGTCTGGAGAGGGTTCCATTTTGAAATGTTGATTCACTTATTTGAGCTGATAGATTGACCCAATCATCCACATTTTGAATGTGCATGCCATCCAATGACAAAATCAGATGGCCATGGGACAAATAACCAGACAATGGTGAAGTAGAAGGAACGTCCAAAACCTATTACAGTTCACAGGAATCAGTCAAGAGGGGAAAAAGAAGGTTAAAATCTTTTCATGTGAATTTATAAAATGCATGTGAATATAAAATATTGAGGTACCATGGGACTTTCGCCATGTATGTAAAGAGGAAACAGAATCAGCGGCAGGCAGAATAACATCAATCCAGAAGCTGCAGAAAGCTAGAGAGATAGTACATTCAGATATATCTCTTATTAAGTAGGAAACTACTGAGCAATTATAGTCAGACCTAGATCCTGAACTAGAATGGGAGACTAAACAAAAAATCAACAGCACACCAGTAACATGATTTGATCTTACAACTGCATTGTGCCAAATACCAGCACAGTAGATACGCAGAGCATTGAAGCATGATGAATCCTGCAGTACATCATGATTGAAAGCCACCAAGGCACCTGGGAAAAGGAGTGCAATAAAAACTGCAACATACTCCAATTTTATGCCCTCACTGCCATTTACGTAAAGTTTCCAAAGTGAGAGGAATGATAATCTAGTCCACTACATTCTGAGATCTAAAATAATAATCATCTAATTTTCCAGGTATTGCTTCCGATTCAAATTACTACATATGATCACCGTTTAACAAATATCAATTGAAAACGTTCAATTATTAGAATTGAGGAGGTAGAAAGAAACATACCTTGCAACAGCAGCAGCATGACCAAATTCATGAAAAGCTACAGATATTAAGGAAGAGATAATTATGTATCCAGCATCAGCAGGGGAAAAATTACAGCTGGAAATCTAGTGCAAAAGAAAAAAATGTAATGAGGAGCAGGTATGGCATGGATAAATTGAAGAATGAGATCCACTTTAAATAATAATGGAACGAAATATTGAAAGGAATTGTATACGAACCAACGGAGGAAGACCAAATAATGAGGAATAGGAAATAGGAAGACTATGAGGCACATCGCTATTGCCAAAAATATGCATGGCTATGGCAAGTTCCAGAAAGAGAACCTGAAAATAAAGAATTAAACATGTTATTAACATGAAGTAATACAAGAAAAGAAAATTACTTCCCTAGAAAAACAACAGTATATAGTGCACTGCATGTCTGTAATGATAGAAATTATTGCAGTAATTGTTTTCCCTTAGTTCGCTAGCCAATTCAGGTGTTAGTTTGTCCATGTAGGAAGTCCATTTCAAATCATATTGTCCATAAAAATAGAGTCCTACGTGGAATTTCTTGTAAGAATCAACTTGGAACTTTTTTTTATATATGTTTATGAAAAGTCATGCCTTCGTTGAGATAAAATGAAAGAACGCATGGGAAATACCAAAAAAAAAAAAAAAAAAAAG